CCCCGCCGGAGTTGGAGCCGCGGGGGCTGGCGGTGGGGATGGCGCGCGGGTGGCGGGTCCCCGCGGGCGGCGCGAGCTCCTGGCCGCCGAGAGCGGGTGTGCGGCGGGGACTGCCGTGTCCTTTTCAAAAACCTCGGGACAGGCAGCCCTAAAACGCTATAGGTTCAGTTCGAGTGTTTTCCCGCTTTCGTAACTGAATGACTCGCCGCGGAGTCTCAGAGCGCTCCCTGGAGGGCAGTTGGCGACATGCTCGTTTGCAGCCAAAATTTGAAATAAAGAAATTCCCGCCTTTTTTAATAAGCTTTTTTTTAAAATGTAAAGGGAGGGCCTTTTGAACCGTTGATGTTTTGTGTTCCTTTTCAGATATAGACAGTCTTGTCGGGGAAGCTTTACCTCTAAATTAAAATGAACATTTAAAGTACATTTTAAAGCGTTTGTAAACCCGTTAGGTTGATAATTGTTTGTCCTCTCCCCTTTTTTAATTGAATTTTGCTTAAGGAAGCAAAGATTTTTAAAATCAAGGAAAATGCTTATGATACTGTAATGTGTCAGTATTACAATTTGAAATGTGATCTGGGTTACGTTCAGATAGGCTCCAGCAAATGCTTGGTAGCTTACTTTTTGTTCTCTGGGTAGATGTGAAATGCTACTTTGTGTCTCCCTGTGCTTACGGGACTTAAAATCGTAATGCGATGTAGTTTAAAACTATTGGTTGATATAGCAATGTTTTTGTGAGAGATGGTGAATTTGGTGTTCCTGTTACTGATTGCTAGTACAACATATGGCTCCAGGGTCCTTCTGTTTCTTTTTCTCTTTCTTAGGTGTATGTTTTTGGGGGTAGGGGGCTGATGTACACACTCCCACACTGAGCTGAACTACAGCCTGTTTATTGCATTTTCCAGAGTTTTGCAGTATTCTCCGTTGTTTAATTTTTTAAAACTGTCTAATGTGTTTCCCTGACTTGAGGTGGAGGTGAACGACAGGTAATAGGTACAGAAATGGTGGGGGCAGGCATGTGCTGAGAGTCGTTCACCTAACTTAGGGCCTTGAAAATGGTAAGCCGGGCGCTACGTCCCCATTCAACACAGGTAAATTAAAGACTCAGCCTGGTCTCTATAGAGAAATTGTGACAATCTTATAAATGTCTTAGGTTGGTGTTTTGCACGTAGTAAGTTATAGATCTGCCACACTTTACTTTTTTTCTTTTTTGGGGTGTTCTGGTTTGTGACAGGATCTTACTAAGTTGTGGTTCAGGTTGGCCTTGAACTCAAAAGGCATAGCCCAGGCTGGTCCTAAACGTAGTGGACATCCCCAGCGTCTTTTTTTTTTTTTTCCCCCACCGTCTTGAGGGCTGGGATACCAGCGTGAACTGTCATGCCTGGCTTTTTTTTTTTTTACCCCCATGTCTTAGAGTCTTTGATGTCTGCTATTTGTGGATTTAAAGAAGCCCCAATAGTTGGCTTATAAAACCTCTGTGGTCTTGTGTGCAAATGTATTATACTGTAAAATGTATATAAATGTATGTAAAAAAATTAAATCTTAATTTGATTGTCTTTTTTATGGCGGAACCGACGATTGAACTCAGACCCTTGCGCTTGCCAGGGAAGCACTTGTTCTGCTGAGCCATCTCCCCGGCCCCTGTCCTTCATTTTGGAGTTCCAAATACGTGTTCTTTTCTACAGATTGGTTTCTGTAGATCTCACTCTTCATAATTTAACTTCTTGGCTTATAAAATTGAAATTTGTGTTATGTCCTCATATCTGTTTCCTTTTATCTCGCTCTAACTCCTTTTTGTGTGAAAGAACTTAACTTTTTTTTGAGACCGTGTACAGCTGTGGCGTTCAGGCTGACTGGCCTGACAGGGATCCTTTTTCCTCAGCTTCCCAAGTACCGGGGGACTACAGGCTTCTGCCACCACCACGCCAGCTTTGTTTTGTTTGTTTGCTTGTTTTTAAGAATATCCCCGGTGGGGATGGGGGTGTGGTTTAGCTCCTGTGAGGTCTTGATCACCAACACCCTCGCAAAATTAAACGAGTACCTCTGTCTCCGAATGTCGGATGGCATGCTGGGCCCTTTGCATCTCGTTCATTAATTTAGATTTGAGAGGGCTTCTTGCTCTTCAGGCTGATTTGGAACTCATGGCTAAAGTGATCTTCCACCTTTACACCTCAAGTAGTTGGGACTACAAGGGTGTGGCACCATGCCTGGTTTCCATTAGAGTCACTTGGAGGAGAATTACAGTATTTTATAACTGAACATGTTTGTTTTCTCCACCTTGATATTTAAAACTTAAAAATGAGCTGTGGAGATAGCTCAGCAGTCTAAGCTCCTGGGTAGGTGTGTGTAAGGACCTGGGTTCAATCCCTAGCACCACATGCCCAGCTGGCCCTGGCCTAGGGCAAACTGAGCCGGCCACCAAGACTGGGTATGCTGATGCATACCTGTATCCAGCACTGGGGAGGCTGAAACAGGAGATTCATTATGAGTCTGAGCTATGTGGTGAGAACCTGTACCAAATTCATAAAAAAAAGATTAAAACTTAAAAATATATGCCATTGGCTGGATTTGGTAACTACATACAACTTGAAAAAGCTAACATTGGTCACCAGTCTGTGATGTCACTTTGTTTTTTTTTTTAACCTTGTTTTAATGTACTGTACTAAGCTGAAAGTGAGTTAAAACTTAGCCTACTAGACATTTTATTAGTAATAAAAATGCCTTAAATTTATGAGACTCAAGAACATTTACAGTAGTTGGTGTATAAGACTGTTCTACATGCCGTATTCTTTTTATATTTATATATATATATACTAGGTTATGTTCTAGTCATTCGCCCCATATAAAATAACAATAGATCACATTTCTTAAATGATGCTTACAGTTTAGGAGAAAGCCAAGTTATGTTTGAGAGTTGCAGATGTGGCAGGCTGTGGTTGGTTTGGGTCTGAGGCAAGATCTCACTGTACAGTGCAGGGCAGGCCCTGAGTTCACTGAGTAGCTGTGCTGACCTTGTACTCACTTGGTCTCCTGCATGCAGGGATGACAGGCGTATGACACCACATGGGCTAGATATGGCAGATTTTATTTAAACTTTTGTTTATTTTGTACTGAAGATCTCAATGAGCTGCAGCTTCAATTGGTGAGTTTCAACATTTTGAAACAAATAGTCATGTGGATTTGGCCAAAATTTAGTATTTGTTTAGTATATCCCTTCTATTTTTGATGGGTCTTTGAAGAATATTTTTAATTAAAAGATGAATTATTAGGGTCAGCCAGATAGTTCAGCAGATTAAAGTGCCTGCTTAGGCAGATGCAGGGGTTGTGGGCTTGATCCCTCACCTGCCCTGCAGGCCCTGCCCCCCAGGGCGCGCTGAGAGGGCATTTGATGCATCGTGGCATGTGCCTGTAATCCCAGTGCTTGGGAGGCTGAAAAATAGGAAGGATCACTACAAGTCCAATCCGTGTAGTGAGACCCTGTAGACCCTGTACTAAATACTTTTAAAAAATAGATAATAAATTTTGGCTTATTTTTAAGCTTTATTTTATGTATTTTGGTACTGCTATTTATTTATTTATTTGTGTGTGTGTGTGGCCAGCTTTGCAGGGGGCGGGGCTGGCTGGCATGTGGTGCTGGGGGATTGAACCGCGGTCCTTGTGCTTTGCTAAGCTTGTTCTAAGTAGGTGCTTTAGACCACTGAGCCATCTCACCAGCCTTTTTTTTTTTTTTTTTGTGGTGGAACCAGGGATTGAACTCAGGCCCTTGCGCTTGCCAGGCAAGCACTTATTCCACTGAGCCATCTCCCCAACCCCGGTGCTGCTGTTTTTTGAAATTACCTAGATTGATTTTTTTTTTTTTTTTTTTTTTTTTGGCAGAACCAGGGATTGAACTCAGGCCCTGTGCTTGCCAGAGAAGCACTTATTCCACTGAGCCATCTCTCCGGCCCGCTTGAAATTATCTAGATTATGGACAGAAGACTACACATGTACATAGTTGGCAGTCTGTCTTTTTTTTTCAAAGTGCAAAGTATGAAGGTGTGACTATCTGTTTAGGAACCATCAGAGCATAGTAACATTCTTGGTGTTTTTTTTTTTTTTTTTTTGCGGAACTGGGGATTGAATTCAGGCTTCTGCACTTGCCAGGCAAGCGCTTATCCTACTGAACTATCTCCCCAGCCCCGAGCATAGTAACATTCTTAAGTGATCTTGCTTAGATTGTGGTTGGGTGGGTTCATTTGTTTTTGTTGGGGATTATGGACCCAGGACCCTGTACATGCTAGCCACATGCTTTATGTACATCTTTGGCCCAGATTATGCCCCTTATCTTTTTGAGACAGGGATTCACTATGCAGTTCAGGCTTGGACTCACTTTATAGTCCAGGCTGGTCTCAACTGACAACTGTCCTCCTGCCTCAGCCTCCTGAGTGCTAGGATTACAGGTGTATACTACCACACCAGGCCGATTATGAATTCTTAATAGGAAATGCTTGGGACAGAATAATTTAAAAATGTCAGCAGTGGGGAATGTTAATTAAATGATAAATTGATCACCATATTTTATAGTAGTTTTAAATTGTGCAACTGTTGAGTTAGAAAGGTTCTAGGTCTGCTGCTTACCTCAGAAGACCTCTAGTAGTGAACATCCGTTGTCTCTCAGATCTCCATTTTTACATGAATTGAGGAATAATCTAACAGCTGCTTAATCATATTGAGGATTGATTGCATAATGTTGGGTAAGCGAAGTGCCTTGTACTCAGTACGATAATTATTATGGGTTATATAAATTACATACGTTACTGTATGTAACATCTATGTAAATTATAAATATATCAGAACCATTTATATGGGTTCTAAATTTTTCTGGCTTTAGTGCTCTGACATTACAATGCAGAATTGCCATAATAGTTTTCAGAAAGGGTGGGATAGATACATGAAGGTAATATATGAGGCCTTTGCAAACATTAGTGTGTAGCGCAGTATGCGAGTGTTCCCGAGTTGGCCTTGGAGGCTTTAGGCTTTAGGCTTGTGACCTCACATGGTAGAATGGGGAGAGTAGTGTTTCACTAGAGCTTTTAGAGTCTCTAAGTTAATAACACAGGACATTTAGAACACAAGTATGTAATGTACATGCAGTGGAATCTATTTTAGAATAGGAATTATTATTACTATGGTTCACTAACCCAAATGGAGTTTCAAATTGAAAGAGTAGAGATCAGCTAGCATCTTGGAAGAAACTGTCCATATATAAGTGGTTTTCTTAAAGCAACAAGGCTATTTGAAAAGTTCAGAAATATTGATTCCTTCTTTTAATCTGGCTTTTAATCACATGTGCTCAAACCACCTGCCTCCCAGTTTTTGTTCTTAGGAAGTTTATTGTTTATAAAGTGGCATGTGGTTTTTTTTGAATTTTTCTCCCTGCAGGTTAAAATTTAAAATCAGAGAGCCGGCCAAATAGCTCAGCAGATTAAAGCGCCTGCAAGCAGGCCCAGAGGCCAGCGGGTTCGATCCCTGGGCCCACTGTATCAGCCCCGCCCCCGGGGTACCCTGAGACATTGATTGAAACTGGGTGTGGAGGCTCAAGTGCCTGTAATCCCAGCACTTGGGAGGCTGTAAGCAGTTCCACGTACTAGTAAGACCTTGAACTGCCTGTAGGCTTTTCCCTAAATTACAAAAAAACAAATCTCTGTCCAACTTAATATTTTGCAAGTTTGCTGTGTAGGAATTCTCTGTTTGGCTGAAGTTTTTTCATTATGTTTTAAGAAAATGTAAGGAAGTTGGATGAGTGTAAGGAATGTAAGGAAGTTATTTTTCATTCATTCATTTGACATCAGATGACTATTCCTGTGTCAGGCACTCTTTGAAGATACTTTAAATAAAATGATAGTATTTACCTGTTCTAGACCCAGCTGTACAATAAACATAGATTCTAAGTCCCCAGATTAAGACTCAGAATAGGGGAAGCATTTTATTTTTTGTTTTTGGCGGAACTGGGGATTGAATTCAGACCCTTGCGCTTTCAAGGCAAGCACTTATTCTACTGAGCTATCTCCTGGGCCCCAGAGGAAGCATTGTAAAATGGAGGTAACTTGCAAAAAAGTTGAGGGTTTTGGTTTTTTTTTTTTTTTTTTTTTGGACCAGGGATCGAACTCAAGACCTTGCACTTGCCAGGCAAGCACTTATTCCACTGAGCTATCTCCCCAGCCCCAAAGCTGAGGTTTTGATAATAAGCCAGACTTGAGGATTATTGCTCAAGGAGTCCACCATTTGGAGAAAATAAAGCACACATACAAATAGCTAATAAAAATAGATGGGATGTGGTAGATGTTAGAGATGGGTTTCTTCAAAATTTAAGGCCTTTGGAATTCGTGAATGTTTTCTTTGTAGTAAAAGTTGAACATTCTTATCATGGGAGAGATTTATCTAAAAATAATCTGATTGTTTTTTCATTATTTGAAGGCACGTTTTCATTTTATACTTTTCAGGAGAAAAGTAGTATTACATGAGATTAGATCTTAAGTTTTTGCTAAAGAATTCAGAACTTTTAAGTATAGAATTCTTAGATTCAGAGCAACTATTTTGATATCAAAGTGTAGGTTGATTGCTTCAGTATTTCAGCCTTATTTGGCTGTGATGGCACATGCCATAATTCCAGTACTCTGGGAGACTAAGGCTGGAGTGTTATGAATTGAAGCCCAGCCTGGGCAATTTACCAAGACCCTGCTAAAAGGAACAAAGGGGTGAGGATGTAGTTGCGTGCAAAAGCCCTGAGCTGAATCCCCTATATTAGGGGAAGAAAGGATTTTTGCCCCATGAGGCTTGATCAGCGCAGTATGTGGCTCCACCAGAGCTTTCTGAAAGTGCCTTGCAGAACTTCTCACAACCACTTTTTTATTGAAAGACTTCTTAGGAGTTGGCTTTGTCATTAGCAGCTATTTTAAAGACTGTCATCTCGCCGGGCGTGGTGGCACACAGCTGTAATCCCAGCACTTACAGGTACTCAGGAGAGTTGTTAGGGTCCAATTGAGGCTGCATAGTGAGTTTAAGGCCTGGATATGGAGCAGGACTTGTCTCAAAAGCCTCAGTCTTTTTTTTGGGGGGTGGTTACAGGGTATAGAAGTCAGGCCCTCGCACTTGCAGGGCAGGCATTAAGCTGCTGAGCTGCGGCCACAGCCCCTCTGGGCTGTGTCCCAGGCTCCTGTGTGCTATAGCCACAGCCCCTTCTAATCCTGCTTTCTGAAAGTTACTGATTTGTTGTGCTGTGCACACTGCATACTAGACAAATATTCTACCAATGAAATACATATCAAAACCCCTGTCAATCTTCATTTATTAAAAACTTGGGGCGGGGCATGGTGATACACATCTATAATCCCAGGAAGGTGAGGGAAGAGGACCACCTTAAGTTTGAGGTTAGCCTGGGCTATGTAGTGAGTTCAAGCCCAGCCTAAAATATATACCATGACCCTGTCTCAGTAAAATAAAGCAGTACGTATGCTCCAGTAATGCCTTTTTTGGAAACCCAGAATTAATTGAAAAGTAATCAGTTCACACAACTTAATATAATTTTAGCCATTTTGATAAAATTTACATGGGGTAATAAAAATAAATTTAAAAAAAACTTACATGGGTAGAGTGTTAACACTTACTTTAAATAATAATTGAAATGAACTTCTGTTGATGTTTTTGGCCATTATTTAAACAACTAGTTTTTTTAGTACCATAGTACTTTCTGGGATTACAGAGACATTTATTGGAGATTTACATAATTTTTGTTTTTGTTTTGCAGTGCTGGGGATCAAACATAGGGCCGTGGCGCCTGCTAGCTAATAAGCAGTCCACTACTGAGTTATATCCTCAGGCATTACTGTTTCATTTTGAGATAGAGTCTTGCTCAGTTTCCCAGGCTGGCTTTGAGTTTGTGGCCCAGTTGTAACCTCCCAAACAGCTGGGACTACAGGAGAGTGCGATGCGCCTGGCAAAGTTTATATAATTCTCTTCAGTGAATTCTGCCATGCCGTTGCTCACAGTATTTCAGAAACTTGTTTTGATACTGACCTCAAAGTTTGTTCCATGTTCTTTGAACTGTCTTGGACAAATGCTCAAGCAGCAGCTATGTCAGAGATGATATATAAGTTACAAGAAAAATAATAATTTTGGGCTTCTTAAATTTTGATATGGGAGCCCAGAAGATGGCTCAGTAGAATGAACGATTGCCTAGCAAGCACAAGGGCCTGAGTTCAATCCCTGGTTCCCGGGGGTTGGGGGGGACCCCACAAAAAAATGAAAAAAGAGAAGAAAAAAAAATTGATATGCTGTTTAAGGTAAATAATTATATATGTAAGTATAAAAAACCTTTACAGTAAAGTATGTCTTCAGTTGTCCTGGGTTAGTTTAAATTTTAAGGATTATCAGAAAGGATCAATAGTAAACTGAGATGAAAATGTGTGGATTCATCCAGGCTTTAATTTGCAACTTCAATGTTGTTCTGTCCCATTTACTGTCAGAAGTTAAATACTTTTAAAAAATGAAGTATTAAAAAATACAGTAAATAAATGAGGTTGGATGCCATTACTATTTCTTTAGGTAATTTAGAATTGATTATTTTGATAGTAATATCTATAATCTTTAAGTTGCTTTTTTACTAGGTATGTACAGCCAAGTTAAAAATGCCTCCAGATAATGAGCTGCTTCTAATTTAATCAAATTGCTTTGGACCATACATCAACTTATAAGCAAAGTTGTGTGTCTATTTTATAGTCTTATATGTGTAGTACTGTATATGAATAGTCTTGGGACTGGGGTATAGCTCAGTGTCACGGTTCCTGCCTGGCAAGTGTGAGATCTTGAGTTCAATTCCCCATACCAAATTAAAAAAACACTATGTGTATATAAGCACTTTTAAATTGATGTGTAGGTAATAATTGGACTTTGTTTACAGAAAGCCACAAAGAAAACTGATAAACCAAGAATAGAAGATAAAGATGACCTAGATGTAACAGAGCTCTCTAACGAAGACCTTCTGGATCAGCTTGTGAGATATGGAGTGAATCCTGGTCCTATTGTGGGTATGTTGATAAAAATCTCAGGTATCCTATGTATGAGGCAAGGCCTCAGGTTGTTCTTTTTTTTTTTTTTTTTGTTCTGAAGAGGGATAATATCTTCACTTTCTCATGTCCAGCTGTCTTTTTTTTTTTTTTTTTTTTTTTGTGGTGGAACCAGGGATTGAACTCAGGCCCTTGTACTTGCCAGGGAAGCGCTTATTCTGAGCCATCTCCCCGGCCCCCATCAAGGTTGTTCTTGATGTTTATGTAGTGATTACAATTTGGCATCTAAGGGACAGTCTGCTAGTAACCATTTATATGGCCTAGACTAGTTCTGACTCTAAATGATGAAATTGAACTCGGGACCTTGCTCTTGCCAGGAAAGTGCTTATTCTACTGAGCTATCTTCCTGACACTCCTTTTGGAGAGGGTGGGATTAGATTTTTTTCTTCCCCTAAAATTACCTGTTATTGAGATTGATTTATAGTTTGGTCATGGGCTGGCGAGATAGCAGAGCTTAGGCAAATGCAGGGACCACAGTTCAATTTTCAGCACCACATGCTGTGCCAGCCCCTCCCCCAGTGCAGGCTGAGCTGGCCACCAAAAAAAAAAAAAAAGAAGATATAAGTTGCTCATCATATGCTACATGGTAAGGTCTTTTTTCTTTTTCTTTTTTTTTTTTTTTTTTTTTATAAGGTCTTTTCTGGCAGTTGAGGAAAACCTAAATAACATAAGTGGCTAATTCATCCAAATTATAGAAATGGTTAGGGATAGAATGATTATATGACTCATGTTACTAATTTTTGTATGGTATTCTTTTCCAGTTACCATTAAAGGTGTTTTATAAGTTATGTCTTGATTGAGTTTCAAGAATGATACTCTAAAGATTAAACTAAAGGGCCGACCAGATAGCTCAGCGGATTGAAGTGCCTGCAAGCAGGCATAGGGGCCATGGTTCAGTTCCCTGCGCTGTGCTGGTCCCACCCACAGGGCATGCTGAGACAGCAATTGAAAGTGGACGTGGCGGCGTATGCCTGTAATCCCAGCTCTTGGGAGGCTGTAGACATGTGGATCACTACGAGTCTGAGGCTGATCCAGTAGTGAGACCCTGAACACCCTGTAGACCCTTCCCTAAAATTAAAAAAAAAAAAAAAACAGATAAAAATTTAAACTGGGGGCGCTGGTGAGATGGCTCAGTGGTCTAAAGCACCTACTTAGAACAAGCTTAGCAAAAACAAAGGGACCGTGGTTCAATCCCCCAGCACAACATGCCAGCCAGCCCCGCCCCCTAGTGGGCTGAGCTCCCCCCCCCACATACAAATAAATAAATAAAAAATTTAAAAAAAAATTAAACTGGGGCTGGGGAGATGGCTCAGTAGGATAAGTGCTTCCCTGGCAAGCACAAGGGCCTGAGTTCAATCCCCAGTTCTGGGCGGGGGGCTGGGGGGTTGGGGGGGTAGAAGATTAAACTAAAAAGAGAGAACTTAGAACCAAATACAATAGATTTCTATCAGGGGTTATTTCTAAGTGATGATTACTTGCAAGGTTGATGCTGCCTTCGTGATTGAGGGTTTTTAGCAGTAACTTCAAGATGAGAAAAATCGATTTTAATCATCCAAGTTGTAAAATTTTGAACCCTGAAACTTTGGCAGTTTGTGGATATAGTAACATAAGGATGTAAGTTGATAAGATCATAAATATGATTACCAATAGGTATTTGATGCCTTTCTTAAATTTTGCATTTAAGGGGCCAAGGAGATGGCTCAGTAGAATAAACGCTTCCCTGGCGGGTGCAAGGGCCTAAATTCAATCCCCAGTTCCGCCAATAAATAAATAAATAAATAAAATAAAATAATTTTAAAATTCTGTAAGACATTGAAACATACACTATATTACATGGTGGTGTATGAGCTGTTCACCTTAAGACTACATTTCTGGATATATATTTATAAAAGATGCATTCTCATTTATGTTGCAAAAGTTAAAATACACAGCTACTGTAAAGCAAAATAAAACCTCGTGGTTTATAAAACTTCATAACTGGCTACTCATAGGCATGTTAGTGTCTTAGTATTATGGGTTATAATCATAGTTGTTATTCAGAGAGTGCAACCTGTTATAAAAAAGATTTTGCTATACTAAGTATTTTTTTCTTTTTGGATACTAAGTATTTTTATGTAGCTATTAGAAAAAATAAAGCTCAAGAGTTGTGGAAAAAATACATATGGTTCTTAAGTAGGTAATCTCTAGCTAACACCTGTGTGTTTCATTTTACTAAAAGAAATACCATGTGGTTAGGGGGGTAGCTTAGTGGTGGAGCACTGGCCTAGTATGTGCAAGGCCCTGGCTTTGACCCCCAGCACCCACTAAATAAACAAATAAACTAAAGAAAAGACATTATAATCCTGTACTGAAGTCCCAGGACTGTACCTGTTTTAGAAGAAAAAAAACCCCAACATGATATATTATTTTTAAGCATTTAAGTTTAGAAAAAGGAAAGAATAAACACAATGCTTGTATGTGCACATAGGTGTGTGTTACTGGAGGTTGAGCCAGGGCTTTATACTGAGCTGTGTCTCCAAGTCTTTTTTATTTTTCAAGACAGCATGTTGCTAAATTACCCAGGCTGGCCTCAAGTTTGGCATTTTCCTGTCCCAGCTTCCTGAGTTGCTGGCATTATTAATAGGCATGCACCACCACACCTCGCTGTGATGCCCAAGATGGTTTCTGACCTGGATCTTAAGACAATGCAAGTACTAAAGTAAGTTTTGCATTAACACAGGAACTACCAGGAAGCTTTATGAGAAAAAGCTGTTGAAACTGAGGGAGCAAGGAACAGAATCAAGATCTTCTACTCCTTTACCAGCCATTTCTTCTTCAGAAAATACAAGGCAGAATGGAAGTAATGACTCTGACAGATACAGTGACAACGAAGAAGGTAAAATTGAATTGAAACTGATAATTACTCAAAGATAAGTAATTTTTTCAGACTCATAAACAGTAACCATGAAGAAGGTAAAATTGAAATCAGTACAATACATAGGCTGTTTTTGTTCATATCACTTGAGTGATCTAAGTTTGCTTTTATTTACTCATCTATTCATTGTATTATTTTGTACCTTTAAAAAAAGCTATATAAATACTGTCCTAATACTTTTTAGTCCATGTTATATTTTTAGATCTAGTCATGTTAATGTATATATCTCTTCCTTATAACTGATAGTGATAGTATTTGAGTATGCCATTTTTTCTCTTTTGATAGCCATTTAAATTGTTTAGTTTTTGCCAGATAATCTAATTTCATAGCATCTGTAAAGCAAGTATTTTGACCATAATTTTATATACTATTTTATGAAAATTAGACCATGACATTTATTTTTGAGACTAATACATGAAGTAACTATCCTTAAAATTATTATCAAGATAATTTGATACTTAGAAGCTTTTCATTTATATGATTTGTTAATTTGGTAATTAGTTTGACCCAAATTGCTTATACCTCCATAAGCAACTTTCAAATTAGTTATTCAGGTTATGAAATATGTAGTCTTTTTCTTCAACAGCACTATTTTAGCAAGGAGGCAAAGAATAAGATTAGCACAAACACAAATAATACTTAAAACTTCCTGCCTCTTTTGCCTCTACAGGAAAGAAGAAAGAACACAAGAAAGTGAAGTCCACTAGGGATTTTGTTGCTTTTTCTGAACTTCCAACTACTCCCTCTGGTGGATTTTTTCAGGGTATTTCTTTTCCTGAAATTTCCACTCGTCCTCCTTTGGGCAGGACTGAACTACAGGCAGCTAAGCAAGTACACACTTCTAAGGGAGACTCACCTAGGGAGCCTCCTAAGACCACAGCCTTGGTTGGCCAGGGACAGGTGCAGAAACTAGAAATTCCCCAAGGAAGGAACTTGCTTACTTCCTCCAGGTCTAGCCATGGTAGTCGTTTAGAGAGAAGGCCTTCGTCATCTCAGCATGAACCCACTGCCATGGTCTCTACTGCAGCTTCTCCTTCAGTGATTAAAGAAACCACTACTACTTACTGTCAGGACATAGTGGAAAATATTTACCGTGGAGGAAAAAGTGGAACTCAGCCATTACGTACTGAAAAGGCCAGTATTTCAGATCAGTTGGTACTGTCCAGTGAAAGGGAGGTACTAGAGGAGTGTAGGAGATCACAAGTGCTTTCTCCACCACTTGCCCAGGCAATCAGAGATTATGTCAATTCTCTGTTAGTCCAGGGTGGGCTGAGCAGTTTGCCTGGGACTTCTAACTCTATTCCCACCTTGGATATAGAAAACATATGCAAGAGAATTGATCTATCTAAGTTTCAGGAAACTGAATCCCCGTCTCCACAAAAACTCCCTAGACGCAGTGAGAAGGCTGCAGAGGAAAGTGATCCGGGTTCCTTTGTGGCATCTCACAGTAGTCCTGCATCTGCACAGATGTCTGCTTCTGCCAAAACTGTTGTCGCTCATTCACTCACTACCTTAGGCATAGAAATGTCTCAGCAGTCGCAGCGTGGTACAGTAGATGCCTCAGAACTGTCTTTTCCTTTGCATGAATCTATTTTAAAAGTAATTGAAGAGGAGTGGCAGCAAATTGACAGGCAGCTACCTTCATTGGCATGCAAGTATCCAGTTTCTTCCAAAGAGGCAACACGAATATTATCAGTTCCCAAAGTAGATGATGAAATCCTGCGCTGTATTTCTGAAGCCACCCCACCAGCAGGCACTAAACCAGCCGCCGCTGAGTCCTGTGATAAACATTTGGACTTAGCACTCTGCAGAACATACGAAGCTGCAGCATCAGCACTGCAGACTGCAACTCACACGGCCTTTGTAGCTAAAGCTGTGCAGGCAGACATCAGTCAGGCTGCACAAATGCTTAGCTCAGACCCTAGTCATATACCCCGGGCACTTGAGATTCTAAGCAAAACATACGATGCGGCTTCGTTTCTTTGTGAAACTGCATTTGATGAAGTAAAGATGGCTGCCTGTACCATGGCGTCTTCCACTGCTGGCCGCCGGCATCTCTGGTTGAAGGACTGCAAACTTAGTCCAGCTTCTAAGAATAAGCTGACTGTTGCTCCTTTCAGAGGTGGTACTTTATTTGGAGGAGAAGTACACAAAATAATGAAAAAGCGTGGAAATAAACAGTAGTACGGTTAAGAACAGAAACATACGTCTTATTTTTGATGTGGAAAACTTAGGAGCTTTTGTAGAAATCTTGCGTACCTTTAAGATCCTTTTAGTTTCCAAATTGGGCTGATTTCTAAAGCTAATTCTATTCATTATAGCATAAAAGTAATTCCCTTTGTAGAATTGCTCTGTTTTTTGGTCTTGTTTTGATAGATCAGTGCAAACATAAGCTTTATAGATCACATATTTATCTCACTGTTTTACTTACACTTTTATAGCTTTTCAAAATTTAGAATATTTTAATAACTAAAATATAAGTAGTCTTCACTTTTCATATTGTCATATGCATGTTGTGTTATACCTAGGATAGAAATAAATACTACTGCATACTCACAATAATGGTTTTCTTTTTCTTTTTGGTGCTTATGTCTTAAGTATCTTCTTCACTTTCTAGAACTTGTCCACACTCTGCTCTTTTTGCTTTTGTTTGTTGCTTTCTTGTGTCTGTAGCATTGTGATAGCCTCAATCAAAGAAAGCTGCTTGTCCAAAAACTGTTACTGATCTGTAGGTAATCGTGCTCAAGAATTGAAATCTGAGGAGCTGGGGGTGTAGCTCAGTGGTTAAGAGTATGTGCTTAGCATGTGAGAGGCCCATGTGAGAGCTTCTATCCCAGGCCCCCTTCTTCTTAATAAAATAAAGGAATTTAAATCTAGTGGCACTTTTTAGGCCAGAGCCAGGGTTTGTTCTTGTAGTAAACTTTAGTGAAAGCAGTGTCCGGATGCTGGTGCCTGTTCTCCTCAGGGATAGGTAGTGAAGAGTTTGCAGAGCATACCGACCGTGGAGCACACTGAGGAGCACTGCTCTGGGCAGTAGGTTCGCTGTGCATGCTCGCTCACTGTTCCGTTTTGTTAGGTGAGCTAGGCACTGTAAAAGGTGGGGCCTCTTTCTCTTCAAGGTATGTTTTATTTCATGGAGACTTAGACCAGCAGTCTAGATGCTAAGAGCAAATTTCTCTTAATTTTTTGTATTAAAGCCTTAAGAAATCATACTATATCTGAGTGTCTGTTTATATAAAGCAATGTATTATCCTGTTTTCATTTCTGTGATTGTAAGGTAAGAGAGCCTATAGTAGAGGCATTGTGGAAAACTGTCTTAAGCATAACAAAATACAGTCTCTTGGATACTTCTCTAGTCATTACCATTGACTACATCTCCCATCTTCGCAGCTTTTGGAAGTAATTTTGTTATTTGTCTTCTGCAATGTACATGTGTACATGTACCTACTAAGTGCTATGTGATTTTTACAATGTATTCCTGTAGCATGCTTCTACATATTCAATAAAGTTGTTAAATCTGAACAGTTCTGTGTGGTCTCCAGAAACGTGTTGTATGTGTGCTTTATTCTTGGAGTTGGAACGAGTTGAACATTTGTAGATGAACATTCTTTTTCCATTTCATCATTGAAACTCGCTTGACATTCCACTGGTATAACTGAAAGTGTTCTAATTGCTTTTAAGTAGTTTTCCTTCTATTTGAAGATTGTTTTTATTTTTATTGGCTGTTGGAATCAATTTCATAAAAGGAATTAATTTCAACCAGATAGTCTAATCAATTTCTCCTTGGCTAATACATTTTTTATTTCATTCTTTGTTAGATTCTGAATTAAAGCATAAATAAGTTTGTCTCAAACATAGATACATTGATTGAAGAGTTGGGAGAGGGGTTTGAATTAATAGCTTAGCACTAAATAAAGATTCAGCTGTTTGAACCAACTTAGTAAAAATCACTGTGGGGCTAGGAACTACAAGTAGATTCTTTGCTGACCAGTATCAGACTGAAAAGTTGGGAAGGCTGTCTCTTTTGGGGGCAGGACATTACTAGGAATTGAACTCAGGACCTTGCGCTTGCTAGGCTGTGCTGCTAAGCTATATCCCAGGCCCTCACATAGCTATCTTGATCACTTTTTTTTTTTTTTTTTTTTAGCATATTTACCTTGAGTTCATGCAAAGCTAAAGATTTGTTTAGGAACTGACTCCATTCTCATGGGGTTCCCCCCCAGCTTTTTTTTTTTGGTATGTGTGAAAAGTAATCTGACTTAAATTTGTAGTAGTAAATGTAGAAGTAATAATTGTCTTTAACTAATTTTGCTACACTGGTAAATGGGCACTACAGTGGAAATGTTAAAAATTTTGTCAGTGTTTTTAAAAATGCAGATCTTCAAATGTTAACAAAACCAAGTAGAAACATGGAATATTGAGGTGAATAAAAAAAAAACCATCTTTCTGTTGTTGGGTTCATGATTATTACAACAATAAGCTGAGTAATACAGTAATGTCTTATCTCAAAGAAATGTTATGATGAGCAAGAGAAGTGACCTGTGCTTGGTTGTACTTTTCTATGAAAAACATTCCTTCTTGCCTCAGTTGAACTGTGTCCAGGCTTTCTATAACTGCATCAAAGGAGAGACTATATTTTGGTTCTGTAGATTGAACCCTAGGGCCTCACATATGTTAAGCATATGCTGTCGTGGAGACTTCTCTACTGCATTTGTGTGTTAACATTGGAATTTACTATTTATTATTAGAAGTTTGATACCAGACAGTTTCATTCTTAAAATTCTCTAGATTTTTTTCCCTTCCACATGCTAAATTTAATCTAGCTATTAACTGTAAAGTACTAGCGTACTATGTGGACAAAACAGTGGTAACTGTCTTATTAGTGCCCTTCCCCACATTGAAACTGCCTAGGGAAAGTTGCCTTGAGAGTTCTGAATTCACTTGTATGTTGAAAGCTGTTGGAGGAAAAAAAAAAGAGTAAGTAGGAAAAAGTGGTAATCAGGTTAAAGAGCAGGGGAGATAAAAGGAATGAAATCAGTGTTTTTAAGACAAGTTGTTAAACAATTGTGGTCTACCAAGGTTTTTATCACATTAGACCCACATTTTGTATTTATGTGCCTAGAACCAGGGTTCCGAAGTAATATATGGAAAATACAGCTTCTGTGTTCCAGAGAGTAATGGTTTCTCCAATGTTATTTCCAGACTCTAAAATAGAGCTCAAGCTTGAGAAGAGAGAACCACTAAAGGGCAGAGCAAAGACTCCAGTAACACTCAAGCAAAGAAGAGTTGAGCACAACCAGGTATCTAGTTTTGTGGTCTCTGTGTACAGGTACAAGTAAGCTCGCGGCGCTTGTTTGTCTTGTCATTGGACCTTTTGGTTATAGTTGATATCTAGATCCCAGCACACTCAGTAAACAATTTCATTGTTAAATGGCACAGGAAATCTCAGCTTTTTGCGATTGTGTCAGGGTGGCCTCTATTTACAGCAAAAGCAAGTGCTCGGTAAACAATTCACTTGGGTTTTATTCTGTACTGAACATGATTCAAAGCTGGTTGGTTGGTTGTGGGAATGGAGAAGGAAAGCAGGACCCAGTCCATGGTGAGCAAGTGTTCTACCACCATTTGGCTTTTTGAGGGAAATCTTTCATTTCTTTATTATTTTGGTATCAGGGCTCAAATTCAGGACCTTCTGCTTGCCAGGCAGGCGCTTGTACCACTGAGCTATTTCCTTGGCCCATGAGAGAAAAATCTTTAAAAGGTAGAATTGCCTAAGCACTTTTGAAACAACTTTTATTTAAAAGGCAGGGGAATAGTTTTATATTTGTTTTTTATTTGTCTATACCTTTCTGATTGCTTTTACTTTTACCTATCTTCTGCCTTCGACTTTTGTGACTTTTCCCTAAACTGTGGCTAGTATGGTCCTAAGACTACATTGGGGTTTTTTCGTTTTTTGGTTTTTTTTTTTAACACTATATGAAAGTTTGCTTGGATGGGTATGTAAGAGGAAAAAATGAAGTTTTTAAAAAGAAAAATGTAGGAGATAAAAATGAATGAGTTGGCTAAATACTTAACTATTGGCTCTAATTTAGCATTTGCTTGACTAACAGAACAAGAGAGCTATCTCCAGAGGTTTTTCGTTACCAAGTTCTGTTTGTCACTTTAAAATTCTGTATCCTCAGAAGAAATGTTACCGATTTCTTAAATGATGTCCTCTTCATTTGATACAGCTGGTAAATTGAAATTTAGAACTGTTTAGAAGAAGGACACTTGGAGCTAAGTGGAGTGGTGCACACCTGTGATCCCAGCTGTTCAGAAGGACTGCAGGTGTGTGAGACTGTCTCAAAGGAAAAAGAGCTAGGGACATAGCCAAGCAGTAGACCAGCATGTTCTAGGCCTGGGTCCAATTTCCAGTACCACAAAAAAGAAAAGAAAAAAGTGACTGGAGAATGTATAGAGCATTGAATGAAGATTTTGTTTAACATACTAGAACCAAATACCGGAATAAAAATTTTAATTAATTATTCACCATTGCTAGCAAAAAAAAGGGTTGAAGCATGTGAAAAGTAAGGAAGGAACTAGAAAAACTAGACAAACGTGGTAAGGACACAGCTAGACTAGCACGGAGAATTTTGCTCCAAGTACAAAGGCGAGATAGAATGATCAGACATTAGGCTGTGTGGGCGGTGGGGTGGTACTGAAGATGGTGTAATGGGCAGTTGTTTGTGTTGGGGAATTTAAACTGAGGGGTGAGATAAGAGGCAGAGGCGGTACCAGGCATAGTGACACATTCACCTTAGAGCAGAAAATTCACAATAGAGAAGAGTATAGGACAGAGTTACATGTGCACACCATTGGCCATTGTTTACCAGTTGAGTTTTCAACTTCACCTTCCATCTAAACTGGTTTTTTGTTTATTTGTTTTTGCAGAACCGGGGATTGAACTCAGGCCGTTGCGCTTGCTAGGGAAGGGCTTGTTCCACTGAGCCATCTCCCCGGCCCTTAACTGGTTTTTTGTATCTAATCCATGTTCAAATTTCTCTAGTCTTGGAAACATTCATGATTAGATCACATTGCTCAAATTAGGATCTAACCAAGATCTTAATTTTTATTTTATTGTTCTTTATCTCTTAAGTGTGTAACTATGAATTTTCTTTCCATGTATTTCATTCTTCTATCTGTGCCTTTGGGTGGACTGAGAGTTAAACCAATCTGGCAGTACGATAGTTTGTGACAGGAATGTTTTACATCTTCCGGTAGCTATTGTACTTGGAATGTATCTAGAATGTCAGAGAAGCAAATTTTTAATTAAAGAGCTATGTATAGCTAGTGGCCACCATATTGGACAGCACGGAGCTAGTGGATTGTTAAGATTCACGTTCAGTTTCTTTGGCAAGAGGAGTTCAAATTGTTTTGAACTACTAACAGCCTTCCCATCAGTGGTGTCAGCAGGTACACAGATGTGCTTTTGTTATGCCAAAGTTAGTCATGGTTCAGTTTTGCAAGATTTCATTTGCTGCAGAGTTTTATACCCCTTTATATAACGGTTTTAACAGCCTGTGTTTATTGCCTAAATCCTGTATTTTATATATTTATGATCAGTTGCCATCACAATTGTTTGTTTTTGTGGTGCTGGTGATTGAAGTAAGGGCCTTGTGCACGGTACACAAGTATCACTGAGCAGTACCGCCAGACAAAAGGTGACCCCAGCGTTTTGGCAGGGGTCAAATGTACTTTATTTTTTTTTTTTTTAAAGCACTCTTTTTTTTTTTTTTTAACAT